CACCGGAACCCCCTTCCAGCGCCGCGCCCGCGCCGCCCCCTCGCCAAGCCCCGCGCAACCGGAGCCCGCCCCCCCAGCTCTGCGCTGCCGGAGCGCCCCACCCCGCGGAATGCCGCGCCACGTTCCCCCCGCTGCCGCTTACCAGGTGCCGCCCCAAGCATGTGCTTGGGTGCCTGGTGCCTGGAGCCGGCCCTGATGGGGTGGCAGGATCTGAGATTAGTGCATGTGTCCATGGGGGGATTTGACTTCCTGTAGCTGGAGCCATCAGTTGAGTTCCTTATTTGGGGCTCGGTGGAGCTGGGCACCGGGGCATTGGTGGCAGCCCTGAGGGGTCCCTCGCTGCCCCCATCATGGCATCTGCTCTCATCGTCCTCAGGGAGTATCTGTTAAAGGCAGGGCATGTGTCCCTTGGGGGGATGGGATCTGAGACCTGGGTGTCTGTCCATGGGGAGCAGGGTCTGAGGCTCGTGCATGCGCCATGGGGGGGATCTGAGACCAGGGTCTGTGCCCATGCAGGGGCGGATCTGAGACGAGGTTGCAGGATCCAGTTGCTTTGGGATCTGGTCACTAACGAGCCGTCTCCTCTCCAGGTTGCTGGCTGGCTGGGCAGAATGGGGCGTTGGGAGGTGAGTATCAGTCTGTGGGGAAGACGGTAACATCAAGGATGGGGGAGGGGCTACGTGGGGTGGGGAAAAGAGGAACTGAGCCCTGAACCTTCCCCAAAACTCAACTCAACTCCCCCTGTGAGCTCAGATCTGTCCCCATTATTCTGTGCCCCCCTCCCCCCACCCTCTGCCAAGGTGTAACCAGGAGCCGAATCTGGTGCCTGTGGTCTGACAAAGCAGATAGGAACCGGCCCTTGGTTCAAAGCCCTGCCCCCCGCCCCAGGCCGCGAGTGTCGGGTGTGGGGTCGTCACATGGATTTATTTCAGCTCATACAAACGCTAACAGGGCCTGTCCGTGGGCTCTAGAGCCCCTCGGGGAACCGAAACGTCCCCGGTCAGTGCAGCCATGGGGAGAACCCCCCAGATCCACCCACCAACAGCTCCCTCCCCTGTACTCACAGCCCCTGCCCCCGTTCCCAAGGCCTGGGGAAAGGTGGGTCTTGTGCGACTCCCGTGGGTCACAGACTCTATTTCCAACACCAGGGTGGGGGGCAGAGCTGCAGGGGGCCCACTGGTCAGGCTCCCTGGCTGGCCTCAGGTGGGACCGGGAGGGGCAGGGAAGGTGATCTCTCCTGCAGTCGGGTCCTGAGCAACATCTGGGTGAACCCCTTGCCCCCAAGCCCCATGGGCAGGCAGTGCCAACCCTGGTAGGGGACAAACTCCTAGAGAGGCCAAATGATGGATGGACTGAACTGGGGCGGTGGGGAAGGCGAGGGGCTGTGTCTCTCCTGTTTAACTCCAGTCTCTTGTTGAAAGCAGGGCGAGAATACCCCAAACCTCCCATCTGGGTGAGCCCCAGCACGGTGGTGGCAATTGGGGGAAGCGTCACCATCCGCTGCAAGGGTCGGTACGGATCCATGAAGTTCTTTCTGCATAAAGCTGGACACCTGAACCCCCAGGTGCAGTCGGAGCCTAATGGGACCGTGGCTGAATTTCCCATCCCCAGTGTCAGCCGGGAAGATGGAGGGAATTACACCTGCGACTATCGCCCCATAACGGCACAGAATCGCTCGTCGTATCCGAGCGACCCCATCGAGATCATTGTAGGAGGTGAGGGAGAGGGACGGCTCAGTGTCCCAGCTCCCAGCCCCACACCCAGCCAGATCATCAGGGGGTCTCTGCACCAATGGGAGACTCAGACCCAGGCTTTTCCCTGAGCCCTGAGCCCAGCGGAGGGGACACCCAGCCGGGGAGCAGGGACGGAGTCACTGGGGGGTTCCCAGCCAGGGGGAAGCAGCAGCCACTGGAGACTTGGGGCAGAGGGAGGGGGATCCCTGCCCCGAGGGTGAGTTGCAGAGCAGGGGGGGGGCGTTTCCCAGACAACACATCAGTTAGGGGATGATGGGTGGAGCTATAGGTTATAAATCTCAGTGTATAGTAGAAACTTGCACATTCCCCTACAAGTCAGTGGTGGTGCTGTGCACAAAACCCAGGGGTTCTGGCCCCCATCCTCCGTGCTCTCCCCACTAGACTCCACTCCCCTCCTAGAGCCGGGGAGAGAACCCAGGAGTCCTGGCTCCCCACCCTCCCAGCAGAGAAGCCGGAGAGTGACTGGACTGGCCTGTCTCCTGCTAGGGAGCAGAGCTCTGGGCCCCCAGGGACTGGGGTTGCTCCGTGTCTCATGCTGTTAGCCCAGGGCTCAGAGGAAACTCTGGCCCCTGTGGAAAGGCATCCAGGAGCCCATCCCCAGGACTGCCAAGTCTGACCCGCCACTGAGGACGTGTGGTGAGGACGGGCCCCAGGACAGAGTGATGGGTCCTGAGTCTCATGGTTTGTCTGCTTCCCACTGCAGAGCCCAGCTTCCCCAAACCCAACATCTCCCTGAGCCCCAGCGGGGGAGTCTCCCTGGGGGGAGCCGTGACCGTCCGGTGTCGGGGGCAGCGCCGGGGTGTGCGCTTCATGCTGAATAAAGAGCGACGCCATTTCCCACCTGCGGATTCGGACGGGTTTGACGCTGTGTTTTCCTTCAGCAAGGTGCATTCGGAGCACGGCGGGAGCTACAGCTGCTCCTATCACAGCAGATCGGAGCCGTTCGCCGTGTCGTACCCCAGCGACCCCGTGGAGCTGGTGGTGAGAGGTGAGGGGCCCGGCTCGGCGTCCCCGTTCCCAGCTCCACCCCCAGCCAGACCCTCACGGAGGCTCGGTGCCAATGAGACACTCAGAGCCAGGCTCTGCCCTGAGCCCTGACCCCGCAGAGGGGACGCCCGGCCGGGGAGCGGGGACGGAGTCACTGTGGGGTTCTCCAGCCAGGGGGGAGCAGCAGCCCCTGGAGACTCGGGGCAGGGAGGCTACTTTAACACTGCCCCTTGTGTGTAGGAACCGTGAGTCGCTATTTAACCCCGTGATCCCATCGCCTCTGTTCTCCAGGCCCCGCCCCAGGCAGTGCCCCGGCCAGGGCTGAATGAGGCAGGGGCTGTGTGAGGAGCGGTGGCTTGGTGGACACAGTGCTGGGCTGGGACCCAGGAGATCTGGCCCAGCTCCTGGCGCAGACACAGACTCTGTGTGATGGGAGCATGTTGCGGTTTTCAAAAGTGTCCTTCCTTGTGTGGGGGGGGGCCTCAATCTTGGGGGATCTCAGGCCGAGTGCCCACAAACCGAGATGCTCAGAGTTACTAGAGACCTCTGCATACACTGGCCTCAATAGTGCTGGATCCCTTGTGTTGGGGGAGGATGTAGGGCCCCCGCCATGATCAAGGCCCCGTTGTGCCAGGCGCTGCATAAACACAGAATGAAGAGACAATCCCTGCCCCTGGGAGCTCACTGAGGAAAGTGAATCTGTTTGTGCCTCAGTTTCCCCCTATGTAGAATGGGGATAATGACCCCTCCCTGCCTCCCTGGAGGTGACTCCCTTCCTGTGGGGGGCTCAGGCCCTGCTAGAGTGGCCAACTTTCCAATTTGTGAAAACCAGACACTGAGTGCGGGAACCTCTCCCAGCCCCTGCTCTGCATCTTCCGCAAGGCCCCGCCCCCTGGTCCTCTTCCCCCCCCCCGCCCCCCCGTCACTCGCTGCTCTCTCCACCCACCCCTCCCCCTGCCGAGGTGACGCCACA